GAATAACAGCCCTACATCTATGAATCACACATGCTTTCCCACAGGCAACTTGTGCTATCAAATTTATGCGAGAGCGTATATGCTCCAGTAGCTATGTCTACGCTCCCAGGTGATTCACATGGATTGAGTCGCTATTAATATATAAGAATACCTAATACTAGAAAGGTACAATTACTATTGCTATGGTGATACATTTATGGAAGGCATGTGACAACTTATTCATATACGTACATATATAAATTACTTTAGGACTTGTTTTAATTCCTCTTTCAAGCCTGAGCTCAAAATGTCGACGTTATACAACTAATCAAATTGAATTGCTATAAAAATGAAATAAACCTTATGAGATCCCGATGAACGATATCTTTACTGTGCAAATATTTTAGTCCAGATGTAACTTCTAGTGCAATCCAGATTAGTTCTGTCCATTTAATCGTGTAAAGACCTTTTTTTTGTTTGGTTTTTAAATAGTTTCGCAAGTTACCATCATTAGCATATTGTAATACTAACATGAAATTACTTGTTCTCACATTTAAAGATTTCGATTGTGGCTTAGAAACGAGACTAATAATCATTAACATTACTTGTGTATTTTTAAAATTCACACCTCTTGAGATTCCGTAGAATTTGATAATATTTGGATTGTTGACAGTGTGCAGAAGTTCAAGCTATGTACGTATAGCATATGATAGTTTAGCATAACTATATATTAAAAATTTGAAATGCCATATATCGAATAAAATATTAAATACCAACCTCACGCTTGAATTTATTGAACATTTCATGATCAAAATGCAAGTTATTATTTAGAGATTTTAATGCATACTTTGTTTCTTTGAAAGTTACAGAATAAACGATTGCAAATCTACCTATTCCGATGATTTTTTTTTCACATTGAGAAAAATCAAAAGTTTTTATACCGTGTTCCTTTAAATACAGTTCTAATTGTTCTGAATGTTTGGTTACTAATATAATACAGATATTTAAAGTATTGGGCATCCTCCTGAAGTTCGAATATGCATTGCTGTAGTATCTAATTTCTCTGAACTTTTACTTCAAATTTAGATGAAGGTTTTGATCATATAATAAATAGGTCTTTGCATCATTTGATTTTAGTGAAAATTCCAAAATGCTGCGGCAGTAACACACCCAGGGCAATCTATTTACATGTGTATTATCTACTAAGGCTGGCAAGAAGGAGATTTTAAGATTTTTTGGACAGCTACCCAAAAATTGTAGTTTAATATTAATCACATCCAAGAATCAAAAAACAAACAACTGAATTTTAGTTATACACTTGACCCTCATTAATATCAACCCATTTGGATTGGGCAATTATGTTGATATATGCGAGGGTTGATAATATTGGGATAGTTTTAATATACCCTGAGTCTATTTCGTCTTAATCAGAGGTTGATATTAAAGGGAGGTTGATATTAACAAGGTTGATATTAACGGGGTCAAGTGTACTTTATTTATTTTTGAATTTTTGAATATGTTTTAGAAATTTGGAGCATCTTAAAGCTTAAAAATTTTTGAAACATCCGAAACCATCTTTATTATTCATATAAAAACTAAATTTTTTGTATTCACTTCTATTCTTAGCTCTTATTATACTTTTATATTATTAAAATCAAGATTAGTATTCTAAGAAATTTGGCTTAAGCATTATGATCTGCTGATGCTCAATTGCTAGATAGATCGAACTACTGAACTAAAGACAACAAATTTGGCTTATCTACAATAGGTTAGTTTGTGTCTTAGAGCATTATATATTATATGTATGCTGCTCTATTTTATCATATAATTTGAATATATTTCTAACTTCTAAAATTAAGTAAATTTAGACTAATATTACAGACTAAATATAAAATTTCTGAAATTTTGCATAGTAAAATCTTGTGATTATAAAAAAATCATGGCTTTGAAATAATATTATATAATATTTATTTATTAATATTAAGGACTTAATTGAACGATAGAATATTTTGTGGCTGTAATATAAACAAAATTTAAAAAATATTTGCAGAAAATCTCTGTGAGGCAGTGTAAAAAAAAGTGTATTGGGTAAAGATTCAAGAAAAAAAAAGCCTCATTCTTTAAAATTATTTGCTTAGTTTTTAAAAGTCTTGGCTGTGAATAGAGAAAAATTAATAAATAAAAGCCTCTTGTGCCTCTTAGAATAAAAAGTTATAAAAGCACTGTATTTTTATCATTGTAAAAGTAAAAATCTTCAAATTGAATAATCAATAAAATTATATATATACTATTTTTGCTAAATTATCACATTACGCCTCTGCAAGTTGCTTATTATTAATTGTCTTTATTTATATTTTAAATTTGAGTTAAAATTTCACTTTTAACTAAAGATTTAAAAATGAATAGTAATATAAATTTTGCATGTTAATCTTATAATTTAAAATTATTATTTATATATTTGTTATATTTTAGAAATAGAAGTTGAAGTTGAAGCTAGAGCTGAAAATTTATTTAAACCTTGTTTGTTTTCTATACTTGTTGATACTTATAAGCATATAAAATTAAGTAAATGTAAAACTAAAGAGAAAAATCGAATTTGAAATGCATTTACAAATACTATTAGAACTTGAATTAAATTATTTGAACCCTATATTGATGAATTAAATATCTTACAAAATGAGTTAAAAAATATACAATTTGTGAAAAACACTATAATCAAATCATTGCAAAAGATAATTGTCTAAATTACTTAAAAGGTGAATCATCATCTTATTCAAGAAAGCAAAGTTGCAATTTTAATACTTTGAATAATTCACAAATAGAACCTTTAACAGCTGTTGATATTGGAATTCAAGTTGAAATAAATAGTAATAATGATCTTTTAATGCAAATTGAAGCTTTAAAAAATTCTCTTAACACTCTTGTAGCTGAGCATTCTAAACAAGTACAAATTATTGAAATTAAAAATAATAAAATTTTTGAATTAGAAACTGAATGCAAATATTTAAAAAATCAAATTACTGATCTAAATATAAGAGTAAAAAATTTAGATTTATATAGAAATCAAATAGAAGTATTAGTAGATGAAAAGAATAAATTAGAAAGTGAAAATAAGCATCTAAAAGAACAATGGAATGAAAAATATAATACTCAACAAAAACAGATAACAGAAGTTGCTAAAATTGCTTCATTAGAACGAAAGTTTTTATATGATGATATTGTCTGCTTAATTAATGATTGCAATAGATTTTTTTTAGAAAATTTATTAGCATTTAATCCTCTAAATTGGCTTAAATATCGCAATCCTGTAATAGTAAAATTTATTGAAATATTTACAGAAAATAATGATGAACAATTATATCAAAAAAAAATTTTTAATCGTATAGTTGCTGTTGATGCAATTTATAAATCACGGCATAGTAAATATATTTCAGAGACAAGTCTTGCTGCATCTGCAATTAAATATACTATTGCACGATCAAAAACTATAATAGATATTGATAGCCATATTACTAGTAGAGGAAGCTATACAAAATTTGTTAATTGGATTGAAAGTTTAGCAATTGAGCCCAAATTCTTGCCAGATGGACTTCTAATTTTAGCCTTCGATAATGAACAAAAAGGTCAAAAAAATTATTTAGATCGAGGCTATAATACAGTTGTATTTCATACTGTAACTAGCTTTGTAGCATTTAATTTTGACTCAAATGATGATAGTCAATTAAAAATTAATCTATGGAACAATAATTCATTTTCTAAAGATAATATTAATCAACTACTCAATTTAGATAATACTATGAAAAATATACTTGAAATAAAGCTTCACGATTTTATTAATGAAATTATAAATACCTTATGTTCTGAAAAAAATCAAGAAGTAAATAAAATAGATGAACTAGTTGAAAAGCAAAATAGTTTATCTAATAAAATTAAAAAATATTCAAATTGTTTTGAATCAGAGATTGATAACAAAAAGCGAAATTGTCCCAAATGTAATGCTAAGCTACCAACACTTTCTTCACTAAATCAAGAATCATCTCTTCAACAATGGTATTATCTGAAAATACAAATAAAACAATAATATTTAGATCATATGATTCTAAAAAACCTAGTATTGAATTACAAAAATCTAAAATTAGCTTAACACAAAGAACTATAGCAGACCATGGAGTAAAAATTCCAGATTTATATGTTTCTGATCCAATTCCTATTAATCCTAACTCTTTAATAAATGTTCAAAAAGTTTTAGAACATATTGAAATAATTACTGGAATTAAATCTGGAAAACGTAAATAGATACCTATTGTATGTGATGGTGTACCATACAATCAAGCACTAAAATTAAAACAAAAGTTTCCTTAGCTGATTTTGCTTCCAGGTGCTTTACATAAAGAAATGAATATACTTAAAGCATTTGTTGAATTAAATTGGTATAAATTAAATTTAATTTTTATTCACTAATTTAATAATTTACTTACATTTGATTTTTAATTTTTAAGGGAAATAGATATAAAAACATTTGCTCAATGTCAAGGATATCGATCAGATAATCAATTAGCATTTTTTAAAAAATGTGCTGATCATCATAAAGCATGGGACTCGATATGTAATATATATCGTTATTCGATGGCATTAGAATTAATATGGCTATATATTCTAAGTCATAATAACCCAACATCTAATGGATACTTGGAATGGGCAAAAAAGCAAACTAATGAAATATATAAATTAAAATTTGAACAGGTTAGATATATTTAATTTTAATTTTAATATAAAATAATATAGTAATATAAAATATAATCTAAACAAATATATTTTAAATAGATTTTTACTTATCTTCAAGCTATTATTAACTTTCGTATTGGAGTTCGAACTAACCAACCTTTATTACGAAATGCAGCAAGATGTCAATTTGCACCAATTTGGTCAGCTAGACGCCATCCAATTTATAAATTATTAGAATTATTATATGAAGAAACTTTATTAAACTTAAAACCTCAAATTCGTGAAATTATTGAAAATATTTCAGTAATATCACGTTCAGGACTTAAAAATCAACATCAAGGACTTGATGCTATAATAGAAGAGATTAATAAAGCATTAAAATCTTTAATTCCTCCAATACCATCACAACATCATTGGGAAATTGCTGCAAGAAATTATATAAATTTTTTAAAGGTAACTTAATAAATATTAAAATTGAATATTTTATAAAATAGATGACAAACACTATAAACTCTGCAATTTTACTATTAAAAAATTAATAATTACTAATTATTAGCAAATTTTATTTCTTATATTGCCTATCTACTCTATAAAATATTCTTAAGATTAAAAGTATAGTATTTTAAGATATGCTCTTTTTTAAAAAATTTATATACTATATTTTTTTAAAAATAAATACCCACCTCACAATTAATATATATCCAAAAATAAACACCTCTTATATAATAGAAATAAGCAACAAAATATCAAGTTATTCAAATTATTAGATGAGATTATATCCAAAATAAGCAACCTTATTATAAAAAAAGGATGTTTATCTTTGAAGAAATACAGTATATAAAAAATTATCATATTAAAATTTTAGAGCATTCCTATAAGAAATACAGTATCTTTAAATCAAAAAAAAACTAAAACATACCTAATAGACATACTTAAAAATTTCTATATCTTTAATTTTAATAATTTATTATTATATTAATTTTAATTTATATATATATATAGTTACGTACAAACCTTTTTAATATTATTGGATATAAGAATAATGAAAGTTCAGAACCACAAACACGACCTAATCCTTATTTAGAACAGCAACGTTTTCGTACATACCTAAGAAAAAAATAATTTTTAAATCCAATAACAAATAATACATTTATTAATTTAGATGGTGATATTAATTTAAGTGAAGAAATGAAATCATTTAGTGCACATGCACAAGAGAAAAGACAAATATTTATTAAAAATACTTTACTGCAAAAAACCAATACTATGTGACAAGCAATTCCAGTAACAGAACAGGAGGCTAAAACACTAAAAAATGAAAATACAATGAAAAAAGAAGAACTTATTTCAGTTAATAATTCAATACTTGTATCATTTCCTGAATCACAACGCCTAAAATATACTAACTTAAAAAATAAAACAAAAGTAATGCTTCTAATGATCTTGCAAGAAATACGAGGTTTAAATAATACTGAAGAAGCTATGGATGAAGAATATGAGGATAATGAATCTGCAAATGAAGAAATAAAATAAAGAAGTTAATAAATCATATCACATGTCTTTAATTGATGATTCTCCAGTGAACAGAAGAATGATCATAGTGTAACATGACACGGTTTTATATGTAAATTACTATAGTGATTCTTCAAAGAAAACTTTTTTTCATACTAAGTTAATTATCTTTAAGCCTTTAAGTAAAGTTGTAGAGCTTATCAAGACGAATCTAACAGTGGTTAGATCATCCAAACCGGCTTGGTAGATGTCAAGATATCTTTGAAAAACCTTTTGCTAACTTTATAAATTTCTTTAAAGAAATTTATAAAGT